TACACACAGGCTGGCGAATACGTGTATAAGAATGAAGAACATTAGGAAGAGTGTTTTACCGGCCCAACCTCGAGCGGCGAGAGCGATAGCATATTCTGACGAGCATTGGATGGATGTGCAATCCAAACGGAGCGACTCAAACGCTCGCGCTCATACACTTTGGAGGAGTTTAGAGGTGATGATAAAGGAGGTAAAATCGGGCCGAAGCCCATCAGCAGGTGGACGAATAGCTCGAACCGCACCGGAGCAGCATCACGACTGCCGAAAGAGCGGATCGATCGTCGCCACACGCTGCGATCGTGCACTTGCACATCACACACCTAACTGCTACGGCACAGCTACCATAGGCCACAAACACTTGCAAAACATCTTTATTTTTTCTTTTTTTTTGTATTATTTCACAGGGGAGTGATGTAGTTAAAAATCATATCAATCATACTGGGTGCAAAGATAACCCAAATGATCTAAAACATGCACTGATAAAAAAGAACACTAACGCTAAGCATTGGACCGTCGAATAAAACTCCGAGGATAAGACAGTTACAAAAATAAGACGGTTCGCGTCAAACTATAGCCAGATTTTTGTGTTGTTTGCTGTGACAATATAAAGAAATTGCAATGTCAAACAAATAGAAATGAAATAGTGCAAACTCTCAAATAAAAAAATCGACGGCACAGCTGAAGGGTCAAACCGAGCTGAGGATAATTCGACTATCAACACTGATTTGATGATGTGGTTTGTGAATAAAACGATGTTGTTAGTTGAATCGAACACGCTCGACCTCATTCAGTTGATTAGTGTGCACGTAGCTCTTTCCACTGCTCGAGAAGATCGGTCGGCGTGTCTGGATATCTGAAGAGAAGAATCTTTGGCAAAACTTCTACAAGCGTATAAAGTGAGCATCTTTTGCAATGGTCGATTCGCGTGCGTAGCTCTTTGTCAGAAAAAATTCGCAATGTGGAAAATTGTTTGTATCACCTCTTGCAAAATTTTCGCGGCTCCGTAGCCCCGAAATTTAAAGAAAAGAGGGCGTAGAGACCGACTCTAAAATTTTCAAACCATTTCGATTTTCCAAATCCAAAAATCATTCTAATTATACCCATCAGAAGAAATCATTTATTTTCAAGACCCATATTGGCCACATCAAAAAATTTCGCACACCTTTAGGGGGAGGGGGGCACTAGTCAAATTTGCTGATTACATCGTATTCATAAGTATCTAAGTCTCCAAAAATTTCTTTTGAGGTAGCTAACCCGTTAATATTCAAAGACATCTCAATTTTTGCGGGACTGTAACCCTATTGTGAAGAAATGGGGCGTGACGACAGACATTCGCAGGCAACTTTTTGCAAAGCTGGTCTGGGTTTTCGGAAAATTCTAGAAGTATCAGAATTTTTTTGCAAATGAAGCTAGTCATTTGCACGATCTCATAGCTCAAGTAAACTACAAAAGTGCAAGTTCTCCTCAATTACAGCTGGTAGTAACACAGTCTACTGGACCTGTAAAAAATTATTCTGCAACACTACTCATGGGGTGTTGCTATAATAGGGAAAGCAAAACAAATCGACATTCTTCTCACCTGTGGTCATAAAGTCCCTGCGCAAGAAGTTCCTCATCGCATGACTGCACTAATAGTTCGGTTTCTCTTGTGCGCTCTTCTTTGTTCGGCTTTCTCTCACTTTTTTGCTCCTGCTGCTCATTGCTATCCTTGCTCTCATTCTTCTCCTTCTCTTGCTTGCTCACATTGTTTTCCTTGTCATCTTCAGAGATGGTATCCATTTTGATTCCAGTAAGCTTATCCGGCCACTGGTTACGTTTAGCGCGGCTGGTACGTGGTGACCTTTACAAAGAAATTTTGAAATTGCTAGACAAGTGTGACTCGGCTAACCCTTCCTGATTTTGCATATCCTCCGGTTCCTCTTTTATTAGCGACAAGTCAGGTACCTTCTGGCTCTTCTGGGTGAGTATAGGATCTACGACTTCGCCTGTATCTACTGGCTGCATCATTGGAATACTGCGGATATCTCCAATCATTCCACGATTTGCAAGCGAGTGCATCGAAGAGGATCTATAAATAGAAAATCAAAAAAGAAAAAAATTGAATCAAGCTTACCTCCCCATCTGACCGATACTAAAATCGATTGCTGGACGCATATCATCGAATTCAACCGAACGGCGACGAGTGTTGGTGTCTTTAAAGAAAAAAAA